ACGCAATTCACACAGAAAGATAGACGCACAGCGCGGCGGGACAGTGACGGAGTAGCGTGTAATTTAGCGTGCGGAGTGAAGCATTATGCAGCGTGTTCCCGGCGAAGGAAGCGTGAAGGCGCCGCTGCCGGAGGAAGAACCCTCAATCGTCGGGTTGTTAGGGCGAGGTCGTGGATAATAATCAAGCCAGCGATCAAGTACCCGTGACTCACTGATCGGCCAGTTTGCGCGATGAAGTGTTTATGCCTTTTGCCTTCTTGGCCTCAAAGTAATGAATAGGTAAATAAATAAATAAATTCAGTCTTTGGTGTATGGAGGAAAAGGGGGCGTCTTTGAATTTCAGTTTGTTATCGTAACTTTGATGTTATTTTGTTTATAGTGTTTTTAGTCCCGTAAAGGTTGTACTTTTGAGAGTAGGAGTGTCTGGAAACCGGATTCGTCTTTAACAAAATTCCAAACTTATCTACTCCAGTTTGAATCTATGAAATACATAGATTCCCCCTACTTTCCATATTTCATACACTGTGTAATAGAAACGGCTTGGGAATAACAGATACAGTGGCTGCATTTCACTGCACTGAAACGAGTATCAAGTGGTCGACACCGAACACCGATTGTATGACACCCGACCTTAACACGGCTGACCACAAGGAAGAACTTGATATTACTAATAACTGACTTTTATTTGCTGAATTTATTTGTGTGATACACGGAGGGAGTTGAAGGCCTTTTTAGCTTAATAAAAAGCGATTTGGTAGATGATTAATTTACCTCGAAGTGTAATGTTTTGACGAGTGGTGGCCGGTTTCCAACACTCGCGGCGACCGAGGAGGCACGGAAGGGGCAAGGCAGCGTCGTACCCCGTCTGTCCTCACTTGAAATCACTGCAGGGAAGTGAGGAACGTTGTGCGAACATGTAGTTTTAAAACGGAGATGCGAGCGTGTTTGTTTGTGTGCGCTGGTGTAAGTGGATTGGATTTTGTTGATTCTAATATATCAAAACGACAGGAGTAAAAGACGAGGAGGTTGAGGGAAGACACGAAGAAGGGAGGAGAGGGAATGTGGAGAGGAATATTGGAAAGAACTAAAAAGAGAGAGCGACAGACAGAGACAGACATACAGACAAAGACAGACATACAGACAGAAGGACTTACTAAAACACAGAAAAGAAGCAGATACATAGAGACAAGCAATTCAAAAGAAAAGAGAATACGAAAGAACAAGAGTAAGAGAGAGAGATAGAGAGGCAGATAAACATCTTGTGTAAATCCTGCATCTTTTATAACGCAGGAGAATCGGTGAGGCGTAAAGACACATTCTCTCGCTTTGTGCCTTGAAAAAATGAACACTCATTTGCTTGACTACATTTTTCCATTCCTTATCACGCTCTCCACATTATCGAAGAAAGAGAATTTAGAAAAAGAGAGAGAGAGAAAAATAATAGAAGACTCGATATTGACTGCAATCCATTTTGCAACATCGGAGGTGACTTTGCATTAACTTATATACCAACCAGGTTTGCTTTTCTCCGTCATCAGTATTTAAATATAAAAAAAAAAGAATAAATCGACTGAAAAAGGCGTATATTTCTTCAGATCTGTTCATATAAACGACTTGGATAATACCTCGAAATTTTCAAATGTTAAAGTTAATGAAAAGAGTCAATAAAATCATGACCGGGAGATGAATGAGTTGACAATTGTTAATGGATTTTTTTTCTTTTCATCTTTTGGAGAAGGTGAACAGGTTTTTGTCTTATTTGTTTGTTTACTTTTAAAATTAATCATCTGACTGAAAAGACACGTAAGGCTATTCATCTGTACATACTACTGGCATAAGAATGAAGAGATGGAGACAGTGAACAAATTATTTTTATATTAAATTATTTTTTTCTCCTTTGTCTCCTTATTCGCATAGTGGTATTATAAATATCGGGATATCATATATCAAATGATGTATAATATTTAATAGATAATGTTTTTCATGGCAACTCTCTAGTTTCAAATAGAATAACAACAAGATAAGGTTCATTCGAAATTATACATATAGTGGTATTTGCCAAATTCAAAATGGAAATGAAAATTATGTATAAGAAATGCAACGTGATTCTCTGTGATTGTTTATATTTTTGTGATTACTTATATGTTCACCTTTCATCTCGTGTGCAATTAGTCAGCAAAAAAAAAAAAAAAAAAAAAAAAAAAAAAAAAAGTGTTTCTTGGTTTTTGAAGCATTAATCGGACTCTGTGTATCTGTCTAGTTACCTATCAATATATATGTCGTATGTAAATAGAGAGATAGATAGACACACATACATAGATACATATATAGATAGATGGGTAAGTAGGTAGATAGATAGATACACACACACGCGCTTGCGCGCGCGCCGACAAGACGGAGTGCCAAATAGATGCAAATCGAAATAAAGCAATGGAGCGAGAGGAGTTCCCTTCCTGGTCACGTGACTTTCGAAGGCTGTCGGCCGTAATCATATCGGGTGTACGAATACTGGATCTTCTTTATTTCACTTCCTCGTCATCTCTCTCTCTCTCTCTTTCTTTCTCTCTCTCTCTCTCTTTATCCCTCTCTCTCTCCCCCTCCCCCTCTCTCTCTCTCTCTCTCTCTCTCTCTTCTCTCTCTCTCTCTCTCTCTCTCTCCTCTCTCTCTCTCTCTCTCTCTCTCTCTCTCTCTCTCTCTCTCTCTCTCTCTCTCTCTCTGTTTCATTCTCTATCTATCTATTTATTTGTCTGTCGATCCATGCTTCCATCTGTATTATTATCATAATTATCATTATTATTATTATCATTATTATTAATATTATTGTCATTTTTATCATTTTATTTTCCCTTTTTGGCTTTTTTCCTCCTTTTTCACACAGAAAGATAGACGTACAGCGCGACGTACATCTATCTGTCTATCTATCTATTTATCTATTCATCTATCTACTGTCTATCTATTCATCTATCTATCATCTGTCTGTCTATGTCTCTATATCTATCCTATCTATTTATCTATCTATGTCTATCTATTTATCTATTCATCTATCTATCTGTCTGTCTGTCTATCTGTCTATCTATGTCTATCTCTCTATTTATCTATCTATCTGTCTATCTATCTATCCTATCTACCTGTCTATCCATCATCATCCACCCCCGCTTTTTGGCTATTCATGTTCATGTATATATCCATCCATTTGTTCATTACTTATCTCCATATGTGTCTGTGCAGTGTGTGTGTGTGTGTGTGTGCGTGTGTGTGTGTATGTGTATATGTGTGTGTGTGTATGTGTGCGGGAGGGAGTGAGAGAGAGAGAGAGAGAGTGAGAGAGAGAGAGAGAGTGAGCGAGAGAGAGAGAGAGAGAGAGAGAGAGAGAGAGAGAGAGAGAGAGAGAGAGAGAGAGAGAGAGAGAGAGAGAGAGAGAGAGAGAGAGAGAGAGAGAGAGGAGAGAGAGGGAGGGGGGGGGGCGAGGCAGACCGACAGACAGGCAGTCGCAGAGACGGAACCGTCCAGGAACCGTACCTTTCCCCGCCTCGCCCCCCCCCCCTTCGTGTTACGAGCCCCCTCTTCGCCCAACTCCTCGGACTTGTCTCCGGCGCCATAACGTGTCGCGTGTTCTTGTCCTATCAGACCCAATGGCACTTAAGTCAGATTTAACATAAGGGTTGATCTGGCGTGGTAAGACACTGGAATAGAGACAGTATGACACGAAGGGAAGCTGTACCTCCTCTCTGCAAAACCACTGACAAGATTTCTTTTACTTCCTTTCTCCTCTCTTATAATGAAAACTGACCGCGTTAATTAATAGCTTTGATTATGCCGGACCTGCAATTGTTTCACCTGTGGTGCCAGGAGGAACAAGAGGCGCTACAAGGAATCAGTTGACAGTAATGGGGATGAGGAGCAAAAAATAAATGGAACGGGCGTCGGTTCCTTTGAGAGACGCGGCTCGTGACTGCCCTGACCGCACCATCTGATATATGTATAATTAAACAGATTAAACCGATAGGCGGCGTCCATCGACTCACTCCGTTGTGTCAGGTTTCATATTGCATCACACGTAGCGTCCCCGCACCTGGACGGCAGTCGCTTTGTTGCCCAGAAGAATCGGATTCTAAAAGGAGTGTTGTTTACAGGCTGTGAACACTCCTTTGTGCGCGCGGAAGGACCTTTGTTGCGCGGAGAAGGAAGGCACCTGCTACACCCGTTGCACACCTGCCGCCGTTGCAAGCGCAGGGCAGAGTGTCGCTTGTCTCCCGAGCGCCGCGATAAGGTGGCAGGATCAAGCCATTGTGAAGGGGGGCGTCCGGGTACTTTAATCAACCCGGTGTGACTGGCATCTTTCCGGACGCCGCCTCGCCACGGGGGGGCGGGGGAGGGGGAGGGGCGCTGGCAAGGAGGGGACTCGAGACGCTGCTCCAGGAGACTGTAGGGAGTCTCAGAAAGAATCTGTAACAATGGAGGTGTAGGATGAAAAAATAGCAGGAGCACAAGGAAAAAGACAGATGTTGAAACTTTAAATCGTAGTATAAATCAGTACGGTGGTTTATTCTAAAAAAAAAAAAAAATAATAATAATAATAATAATCAATGTAAAATTATGATATTAATGATGACAAACTGTGATGATATATTAGTAACTGTGATGAATATATTAGTAGTGATGATAATCATGTTAATGAAAATCGCTGCGCTTAATACATAAACAAAGTTCTCATTAGCAGTTGGTATTAGCAGTTGTTGTTCTTACTACAGTAGTTGTTTTGATTGTTTTGATAAAATTGAAAGATCTAGGTCTAGAAAAATATATATTTATTGTATTTTTACTGGTAAATTTACTGTTATGTGGATTTCGTAACGAAGAGTATAAATGAGCACTGCAACGCATATAGTATAGCTATACAAGAGCCTTACAATTGTTTACTCATCAATTTTATTTACACCCGTGTCCCATTGACCCTTGAGGTGACCTTCGGCTTTCCATGACCTAGATCTGAAGATCTGATGACCAAGTGTGACCAAGCGTTTTAGCTCTATAAAGGGAGATCATTTCGATTCATTTTCTTTGTGACTGTTTTAGGCGAAGGTGAATTGAAAAAGGCAGTTTTATACTTGTTACCTAATCATTTCTGTTTGTATTTGTTTCACGTTTTTACTCACATGAATTTCTTTTTCTAGCTAACAATCCTAGAAAACTGAAATCCCATGCATGAAATTTCCTCAAATGTTCACGACTGCCCCTCTTGTTCCCCAGGGCGTTGTCCCGCGTGACGGCGTTAGCAGTGACTCCCCGCGAGCAAGTCACCCCGCAGGCCTGTGAGTCCTTCCATGGCTCCTTGGTCCGCCAGCAAGTCCGCTTCTGCAAGGACAACCCGGACTTCATGGACTCCGTCAAGCGCGGCGCCATCTGGGCCATCGACGAGTGCCAGTTCCAGTTCCGGACGCGGCGATGGAACTGCTCCACGCTCAACGACGAGACGATCAAAGAGTACAAGAAGAGGATGAAGCCCAAGAACACGCCAG